TTCCTGCTGAACCTCTCCTCCGATCTGTACCTCGCGCCGCTGCCAGAGTGCCTTGGCGAATGAATCACAGGCCTCCAGGCAGCCAGTCCTCAGTGGGTGCAGTGCTTGCAGGGGCTAGGTACCCCTGGCCACTTTTTGGCAGGAAGGGCAAGAAATGAGCAGGGGGGGGGTCACTACCGCCAGCAGAATCCCACCACACTACAGACGCAGGCGCACCTCCCCCATCCTCCTCGAGACGCGTCGATATAAGACTCTCACATACCGCCTCTTGCTGCCATCACGAACTCCTGGTCTAGACCTTCCTCTCACTACCACATCCACAACCAACATTACCACACACTACTCGCACCGCCACCTATTTTTTTCTACTTCACCAACCATCCACGAACACTCAGCCCTCCCTCCCTGGCATATAACGTTGGATACCCTCTCCAGATGTCCTCATGTACTTGAAGCCATCCGATCGTCAAAAACCCACACCCAACTTTGACTCTGCCGACTGATACTCGACACCCAACAACGACAACCATCACCACGCCCTACGTGCACATCACCAACAAATTCCTCACCAGGCGAACAAGCCGACACAACCACACTCCAGAGGCCCCCCAAACCGCCACCATGTGCACCTCGGAGCTCTTCACTACCAGGTACGCCGACGGCACCGAGAAGCTCAGGCGCCAGGACAACCGCTGCTCTCAGGTTCCGCCTGGCTTCCTCTGCGCCAACCCGCGCATCGTCAACCACCCCACCAACTACGAGACCACGGCCTCATCACACCTCCCTCCCACCCCGCGCCTGACGCCCTACGGCTCCCCGCGCCCCTCCACGCCCCTCGCCTACTCGTCTGCCAATGAGTCTGACAACTCACGCCGCAGCTCCGACCGCAAGCGTGTCTACATCTCTGGCCAGAAGGTCATTGACGTGACTCGCAAGTCTGGCAAGGCCCGAGCCCGTGATGAACGCATCATCATCGTCGACGGGCCTCCCACCCCTCGCACTCCGCCTCAGCACTTTGGTATGCCCTTCACCGCGCCTTCGTCGCCGAGGACGGGATACCAGATGGCATCTTCCCACTACGCCCGCCGCGAGCGGGAGCACGACACACTCCGCCCCATCATTGTTGACGAGAGGCCGAGCCGCCACGTCCACTTTGACGCAGCACCCGCCGCCTACCAGCCCTCCAGCTCCCGCCGACACCACGTGGTGGAACCAACCTACGTTGCCCCCTCGTCTGACGATGAGCGTCGCCGTCGCCGCTCACGCCGCGAAACACGCTACCACGACAACGAAGAATACCAGCGCCAGGCTGACCGCGAGCGGGCCGCCGAGCTCGAGCGCATTGTGGCTGCGCGAGAGAGCCGCCGCCAGCCCCAGCAGGAGGCTGACCCCGAGCTTGACCGTAACATCCGCAAGGCCGAGCGCATCGCCCGTCTTAACGAGCGAATCGATGCCCGCCCTGCCGTGCCCATCCCTACACTGAGGCGCACAGCAACCGACTTTACCGGCGAGGAACGTGAGCGTGAGCTGCGAGAGGCAGTTCGCGGTCTCGACCTCGGCGACAGACCCCTACGACGTTCACAAACAAACACTGCTTTACCCCGCCGCGAAGCGCGGAGGGAGCAGCAGGCCATCGAGGAGGAAGAGGAGGCGCAACGCAGGCGCCTGGCCGAGAGGATGATGCCACGCCGACGAGCCACAGTGGGCCCCGGCAGCAGGCGGCACCGAGTCCTGTACGATGATGGCGTGTACCGTTGGGAGTAAGAATGGTGTCGCAAGCGGCTGTATTTTTTTTTCGTGCAACATGTCATAGACATTTCCTTTGTCAAGCGTTGCATTTGGGCCAGGATGATAGCACTGGCGGCGGGGATATTGGGAACGCCCGGTTTTGGCGATAAGGATACCACATGAGATTGGCATATCTCCAGGGATTGGATAGTTTAGAATCTTGGAAATCAAGCACGATTCTGCACTCCACATGTTGCCTGCAACCACGTCTCGGGTCTCTGAATGTCTTGTGATGGTCTTGATGGGTGCATGTCTCACTCTTTCGTCAACGTCGTAACTCTAGGGGGGGGATGAAAGGCAGGGTGCACCTTGATCAGTCAGGATACGAGGCCCCTGGTCCCGGCCATGTCGATCCCCGAGTCTTTCGGGGACCGTCGATCACCACGTCTGTCTTTCCCCACGCGTCCGCTTCACCTTTTGGCACATCCAGGGTTCTCGAGAACGCACTGTCCCTTTGTCCGATTCTGGCAACGCACAACCAAGGAAGTGGCTGACATGAGTCGTCTGCTCTTTTTTTCTCTTGTCTCTTTCTTTTCTCCAAGTGGCTCGCGAATCGCCTCGCCTGCCTGCCGATTCGTCACCGTCGCTGATCGCACGACTGCAGGTGGCAGATCTGGGAATTTAGGGCCCAGTGCCGGGGTCATCCCTCGACATGTGCAGAATAGAGTCTAAGCGGGACAACCGCGCAGATAGGCAGGCAGGCAGGCAGGCAGGCAGCGGGAACGGGTTTACGGGGGTTCATTGATTGTCAAAACCCCCCCAGCGCAGGCGGGGAGGGATGCCTGGAGATGCCCGGGCTTGAGTACAATGGCCCCGGCGTGGTGTGGTCCCGAGACTTTTTCTCCTCGATCAAGAGGGGGGTGGTGGGCGGAGGTGGTACGCTGGTTTTTTGCCGAAATGGCGATGCTATCGTTGTCCTTGCTGGGCATTTCGTAAGCGGAGAGAGGGATGCCCCACCAGACACGAAGTTGCACTTTTGGCCTTTTGCCGGTCCTCCGCTGGTGGCGAGAGAACGCGAGGATGATGCGACGTGGAGAGGTAGGTAAGACCTCGAAACCGGAAACCTGGATACCTGCCAAGGTTGGACGGCACCACTTTCTCAGCACGGGCTGGCGAGCGGGTCTGTTGTCTCCCGTGGTGCTTTGCTCTACCGCAATGCCATTGTTCCAGTACGGGCTTTTTTTGGGGGGGCTTGCGAGGCCATCGCAAGCTGAGGTCTCGGTTGGAGTGGGTTCACAAACGCCGCTGAGGGGGGTCATGCGGCCTGCCAGCGGCGGGATTCGGTGTCGTGGGGGAGGGGATCAGGACGCGCGAGGGTGTAGTGGTGTGCCTTGCCGAGTGACGCATTCTGTCGGTGAGCTTGGTGGGGTGTGTGGCTCGGGTGCTGCTAGTGGCTGGTCATGTGGCTGGAGAACGGCATTTGGGGGACCAGCATCGCCAATGGCCGCACTGCGAGATGATCAGGTCTGAGACCGCATGGGATGGTTGTGGTTGCATTGCATGCGTCTCGCGACGGTCCGCAGGCCATGTGAAATATGACCGGAAGATTGTCTCGGTACCTAGCGAAGTGTTACCTCGCTGGGGAAGAAGGGCGAGGGACTCTTTCTTGATGGGCATTTCCCGGTGAGTCGACTGGCTTCATGGTTCTCTACAGCGGGGCCCTCTCTACTCACATCAGATCCGTGGTGTCAGATGTCGAAAAGGTCAGGCGGTCGTCTCCTGGACCTTATTGATGTCGCCGGCTGGGTGATGATGGAGTCCCACGAGTGGAGCCACGTCGTTGCTGTGTCTCATATGTTAATTGGACCTGTTGCCGAAAGTTCACGAGAGGCAACATTGTCACGGCGGCCGATTGTGGTCGGACAAGGCTTTCGAGTTGGAGGGGGCTGATAGTATGCACTGCGTTCTCGATTTTCTATGATACCTAATGTCGACCCGGTACGCGAATAATTGACGACGGGCGCCTCCAGTTTTCAACTCTTAGAGCAACGTCCCACCCAAAAACAGTATCAACGAGTGCGAAAGTAGATATTGAGCTTGAGCAGGTACACGTGCTATTTTACAACTATACTCCAAAGCCGCGTCATCCTTTCGCTCTGGGGTTTCCTACATCATATCTGCAATGGCAAGTATCAGCAGCAGCTATACATCCGTCCTCGTACAATCCCTAGGTAGGACTGTGAGTGGGTGGGACAGACTGTCGAGTCACATTGGGAAAATGCGACGGCAATGCCGTATCTTCCGGTATACACGAATCCATGAGCCTTCAACATAGCCTCTGTGCCAGGACGTATAAAATGTTACTTTGCATCAGGCTGATAGAGTAGACGAACAGAATTGCCAAGTCTCGCGGTTTTCATGGAGGCCTTTAACCTGGGTCGGCTACCATCTCATGCCTGAGATTTGTCTGTTTAGTCAGAGCGTGGAGTGAAGGCACGACTACATGGTGTTATTGGAGACAGTACAAGGTAACGTTGCAATATATGTGAATGAAATCAACCAGAAAATCGCGATTAGCGATAGTGATGCAGAGCAACAGAGATCTTTCCACAGGTTGACGGGCGTGGATAGTAAACAAACAACACTGGCCAGTCGCCCAGTGGGAGAACCGCACTACATGGCTCTTCAGCCATGACAGCACCCCACAACGTCTTCCCTCTCCTTCCTTCCCAACAACCCCCGTCCACCAACAACTCCACGAAATTGCAATTGACGCGTGACAAAATATTTCTACAAATAATCAACTCACCTCTCCCGTACCCATTCGTGTCTGGACCCATACACGAACTCATTGCTTCTCCGTTGCCAGATTGGCACGTGAAGAGCTGGTCGTCTTTCACGCCATTCGAGATTCGACTTCTCCATCGTTTGAGCCGTCTAGCGAGACCCAGACAGTCTTTCAACCTGCATAACAAGCTTGATCCTCAGGTACGCCCTCAAGCGCCATTATATTGGCACCCAAAAATCGTTCCTGATTCGCAGCAGGACACATTAACTTCCTCCCTACCATCGTTGTTCTGTCGTCAAAGGAAGTTGACCTGTATGAGATTCATCTGCTGTTGAGTCGAGGGAAGATAACGTCCATCGTCATGTGCCACGTTGGAGACATTATCTGCTTTTTCTGCGACACAAAAATAGCCACGAACGCCCTCATTCAGCGGTGCGAGGCCTATGCTCTCAAGTGTTTTGGGCTTCAAGAGATTGAGGAAGAGGAGATCCAGACTCATTGGCAAGACTTCTCGTGTTTTCTACCACGCGATACTCCTGTTCCGGTCTTCGATTACGAGGAGTGCCCCTTCAAGCGCGTCGGGTCATTCAAGGTCTACGACTACCCTTGCCCTAACCCAGCTTGCAAAAAAAGACTCACACAGCCTTCGGTCAACAAGATCCCCAGAACAACCCTTCGAAACTGTGATTGGGTCTCCAACTTCTACGCGTCTGGTCTCATGCCCATTGTCCAGTGGTTCAACACGTACCTCGCGAACTGTAACGAGAGGAACAATATCCATCGACAGCTCATTGCTCCGCACGCGGTGAATACTCACATGACTCCTTTGGTAAGTGCTTAAGGCCTTATTCGCGTACCTTAACTTTACGTGGCTGATTTAAACTAAAGGAGACCATTGCCGGCCCCGTATATCGCGATCTAACAGCCGAAGAGCTCGTCAAGCACGCCATGGGGCAAGAGAGAAATCTTCCCAATGGGATGACCGGAACCTACGTCGACAGCATTCCTGTCAAGACTACTCCGGCTGCTGATGTAGTCTGTGACGATGATGGATCACTCTTTGGCGATGATGGCCAAGATACCAATTTCGCCAGCCTTACTCCTTCCGAGCCTGAAGCTGTGATCAACAGCTCATCAACCAATTACCACCCTGACCCTAGGCCTGATTGGTATGATGCTGCCGGAGAGGCAGACTTAAGCATGGCCGCTAGCCAGCCAGGCAAGAACTACGCCACCGCCAACTCAACCCAGGCGGTTGTCGCAAGCTTGTCTTCGCAGACCCCAGGACAGGGACATGTTGAAGCCGGAGCTTAGAACGCTCCAACAGCTTCCAACGTCAACCCTAACATAAGCCATCTTGAACAGACAGATAGCGGAGAGATCAGCTTCGAATTCGAGGACGTCACTTTCTGCGGCGATGAGGATGAACAGGGAGAACTCACTTCTGTAGTGCCTCCTCAAGCTGCAACAGTGCTAGTCACTCCTGACCCTCCGGCATTCCACCCACAACAGCAGGCCAAGAAGGCCCAGCGTCAGCCTCCCCTGCCCATCGCCATTCCTCGCGTACCTCTGATGGCTAATTCAATCTTGGTCTCAGGGGATGTTCAGAGTTTCTCCCAGAATCTTCGCGCTGGCGGTTCCGGGGCTGTGAGTCGCACTGGGAAAGCCCCTGAACATGGTTATCACGACAACGCTGCGCTAGCGGGCGTGTTACCGCTTGCACTGCCCACAGGCGGAACAAGCGATGTAACCGTTGTTACCAGTGCGCGTAACTATGAGAGCCCTAGCAAAGATGGCAAGAAAACTACCAAGAGCAAGAAGAAAGGCCGCACTTCTGTCGACAGTGCCGCCGCAAACAAACGTCAGCAGGCTCTGCTCAAGTCACTTGCCGAAAGCGAGGCTGCTCGGATGCGCAAGAACGGTGCTGCAGCAGCTGCAAACTCGACCACATGGCAATTCTCTGGTTCTGTGTCACCAGTGAAATGTCGCCGTACTTTCTCTCCGGACCTCATGGTTCAAGCTGATATGAAGGTGAACCCTGGCAACTACATTACCGAACCACACGTCAACCAATCTCCTGCTCAGCCAAGTGGATTCAATGTCGTGGTTGACACCGCGTTCAACAGCAGCAACGTCCAGGGTTCTGTCAGCTGCTCGATGGCCCCGATCCAGAGCAACAAAGGCTTCATCAACGACCCTCCAGCGCAGGGTCACGCTACCACCAGTACAATTCATGATTCTCCTACTGGGCCACCTAGGTTCCACCAAGGATCGACCCAAGTCATCAACTACCAGCCTCAGCATCTTCAGGGCAATTCGTTTCAGCACGATCGTGGCTCACACCATGGCTGCAACTCGTCGCCAGCGGGGGCTCATCCTGCCATGAACCTCGACGGCCAGCAGCATAGCAACGACTTCTTCTGCCATGGAGGGATAGCAAACAAACACAACGGCAACCCCGAGGGGGGTTTCATTGACAACCCTATTCAGCATAACTTCCCAACCGGAGGGGAACAAAATGTGCCTCACGACGCGGCCAATCCAATTAGTATGGACACCACCAACTCCGACATCGCTATTGACCCCCGCCTCTGGGAAGCTAGTCGGGTTGCGTACTTGAACGACACCACCGATGCTGAACTCGCCAGCATGGGCTTCGTCCGTGCCAATGCTCTTCCCACCCCACAGTCCGCGGAAAAATTGGCCGCCAACACGTCTCAGTATCCCGAATCCAACGTGGGCACCTGGGTTCAGCAGAACTCCCCGACGTTCGGTTCGAGTAGCAGCGGTGGTTGTATCTCGCCCTTCAAAGGCCATCACATCGGCACTGCGGGAGGCGATATCGATGACCATGCGTGGGACGCGGTTGACCTGGGCAACAAATCACAGCCCAGCCGCCGCACCAGCAAGAAGCGAAAGAGCAGCAAGGCGAGCTGCCTCGATCTCTATGGCCCCACGACTGAACAGCCTCCACCCATTATGACAGAGGCTATGCGCGAGGCTCTCGTTTCTCAAGGCAGCGGTGGTGCTACTGCTCCCATTGGAAACATGGCGGAGCCTATTGCTGCTGCTGAGGGGTCCATCGTGGAGAATCGGGCGCAAATGGAGAGAATGGAGCTCGTCAGAGTGATTCAAGAGGAACAGAGGAAGTTTCAGGAACAGCAAAAGGCTGATTGGGAGGCGTTCGAGTTGCGTATTCAGCATATCCTGCAGGGACATGGTGGTCAGTGAGCCAAGATAGGGAGACTTTTTGTATCTGGTAGACACGAGCATTGACAGACGATAGGTGCTTCCCAATGGGCCCGCCCTACGAGTACTTGTTACTGTCGTCATTCTCACTCATGTACCTAGGTATGATTAATTCTCTGCAGAGCAAGAAATCGGTACATAACTTCCCACTGAAGTCATCCGCATGCCAGCAAAGGTTGAAGATCCATTTAAACGAGTGATACCAGAAGCCGAACCATGTCATGGCAAAGAGATCTTCGAGACTATCTAGAATGCATAATAGATCAAGGTCCCCCCCCCCCGCTTGATTGACAATTGAGGTCTGTCAAAACATCTGAAGCGCCTTGGAAAAAACAATTGCAAGACAACAGCCGCAAGTCGATTGTGGCTGGCACTCTTCGACATACCACAACGAGGACCTGTCGAACGCCAAGCCAATCGACACCCAGATCTCAGTTCGGGGCATGTGCATTGAGCTGCATGAACGGGCAGCGTTGGATTTGGCGGTGAGACCAGGCAGCGGCTCGTGGGTCTGATCTGGAGTGTGCCATCCAATAAGCAGGTGTCTCGAGTGGATGTCAGAAATCTGACGATCGATTATGCTGCCCGGACAAACGAAGGAACTCAGTCGACGGCCAAGACGAGAAGCGAGATGTACAACCCATGTTGAAGCTGCTGCTGTTCAAAGGCGTCCCGGATTTGTTGAAAGGAAGCTGCCAATTGTGGCTGGAGAGAGACGCGGACAGTGAGAAGGGATACACACGCTTGTGGCTCGTGCGCTGTGGGTTGCCCGTGGTAGCCAGTGACGGAGCTAAGCCTCATTAGGAAAGGCGCGATGCCAGCGCAAAGGAGGGCCGGAGCGATCCACAATCAACATTGATCGCAGTCATTTGGCTTTCGGATGCGGCCTGACGAGACTCCCTTCTACATCGACAACCCTCGCGACAACACCGCGACATACGCCTAGCGACGACACGGCAGCGGCATAGGTAAGTGAGCCGCCCGTGATACGACCGTCGACAAATCGACCACGCGACAGCCCTCCGACACCAAACGACCGCTGCGACCGATCGCAGCTCGAGGTGCATCCCGCCCCCTCGATATTGGCGTGCACCCCAACCACCGCCCTTGGGTCCATTCCGAAACCCAATCCCGCAATTTCCTACCAAACGGACCTGACACCTATCGCCAGCGACAGACCACGTCGCCAGAGCATCTCGACCGTTTTGCCAGCATCTCTTTTGTTTGGCAGCATTTCCAACTGTTATCACCATTCTCGGTCTGCAGCGCAACTGACCGACCGACGACCCCCGAGCAGCGAGCAGCGAGCAGCGTCGTCATCCCTGCCCCCCCAACAGTTTCACATGCGATTCCAAGCCAGCGCCTTCGACAACGCGCGCTGAACACCAACCATGGCCGAACCACCTTCGTCGCCCCCTGGCGAGTCTGCCTCCGCCGAGGACTCCTTGTCGTGGTACAAGTCGCAGTATGAGGTGCTTGAGCAGGAGCTCGCTGAGTTCAGAGAATCGAGCAAGGAACTTGAGCAGGAGCTCGAGAAGGACATCGAGCAGGCTGAAAAGAGGGAGCGTGGGCTCCAGGAGAAGGCGGAGAGCCTTGCATTCGAGGTCGAGGAGTGGAAGGTGCGTCTTGGCTCATCCCTTTGCTCGCCGAAGTAGAGGGGCACCC